TATATATATATATATATATATATATATATATATATATATATATATATATATATAGAGAGAGAGAGAGAGAGAGAGAGAGAACAGGTTTAGAGGACAAATAAATGTCCCTTTAATATGCACTTTAAAAAGCCCCTTGTACAGAAACCATTTTCTCCTGTTTTCAGCGGTTCTCAAACTTCATTGCACCGCAACCCCCTTCTGACAATAAAAATGACTAAATGACCCCAGGCGGGGGCGTGGAGGAGCAGGGCCAGAACCAGAGCCCTGCTGCCCTGGCAACTCTGTTAAAATGGGGTCACAACCCACTTTGGGGTCCTGCTCAACAGTTTGAGAACCGCTATGTTATATCATATCTCTGGAGGATAGAAAAGAGCCACTTTTAAGTCCTAACTCTGTTCCTTCCAATACAGCAACAGAATTATTTTGCTGCTTGGCCAAACAGCAAGAGTTTCAGTACAGCCGGACCTTAGCAAGCAGCCCCTCTACCAGTGCCATTTAGGTCCCAGGCATACTGGCCTCAGCCACCGAGACACATCTGGGATTGCCAAACCCTCCTGCACAAAAACACGCCAGCCAAAAGGTATAACGTTTGCTTGACAGTCATGCCCATTTTACATAAATAGGACACAGCTGGGACTGATTACATGTTCCAGCCCAAGGACACTGTCAATATTTACAATCAGAAAAAGCTGGTCATTAAGAAATATTGTTAAATAAAAAAAATTAAAGCAATAATTCACTCTTCTAAATTCTAAGAGCGACCATGTGTCATTTACTGGGGATCATAAATCAGGAGCGTTACTGGCCCACAGTCACTAGGGGTAAACTTCAACCCCATGCAGAGAGCCAGCACCAAATAAGTTCTCAACATGGGTGCAGTAGGCTTGTGCTGGCCCTTTGCACCAGCCTGAATTTCCCCAGGTGACTATCTGTAGGGAAAACTGCTGTAGGGTCGGATGATGGGAGCAACCACCTATTTAGTGCTCCTCTTAAAATAGGGAAAGATTTCTCATTAGGATCCCACCTGTAGGTTCTTTTTTGCCCTGCTGGACTGTGCTAACACACTAGGAAGAAGCTAGCAAAGACAACTTGGGAGTCCTTAGTCTGCACGGGAAGTTTGCCCGGCTGCTGCCCATGCTGTACCTGTTCTCTGGTGAGAGGACTTTGTTCTGTAGGGGCTCTCAAGCCAGCATCACAGTCACTTCTTAAAAATAATAGGTTATAGGCTTCAGCTCTGCAAACTCCTAGACTTCACGGCGCCCCCTTCCCCACACATCTGTAATTGCTCAGGATAATTTGAATGCAAATAACCCGTCTTCCTGTCTACGCTGCTGCAATTACCACATGTCCGCTCGTGGTTGAAACTGAATTGTGCTGACTTCATGCAGATGGTTAGATAACGCATAAAGGGCTGTGATTAGAGGGCAATGTGACGTGAATGCTGAAATGCAACCATCCAGGAAGCTAACGTACCATTCAACCTGCGCTGTAGCACCTGCAGTTGTGAACGAACAAGGGGTCACCGGAGCTATGTTTTCAGACAGAACATGGCCTCAGGCAGTACCGCAGAACTGAACAGCCCAGGATTTTAGGGGTGTTCACAAACTAAACTGGGATCTGAATTTTGCAAATATCTTTCTTTATAATGGTCTGTCATAGGAAGATCCAGGCAGCACTAAGGCTGGGATGTGCAACAGGGCCTAACAGAGTTAGGCACCCAAATCTGTTCATATTCAATGGAGCTGGTTGCCTAATTCTCAGTCTAAAACTTTAGGGTGCCCAAAATCCAGATCAGAAGTTTAGGGTTTGATTCAATCTTTAAGCCACTGAAACTCAGTTTGCAATCTCTCCAGCTGCTGCATCCATTAACTGTCTCGCAGACAAAGCACCTAGGCACTTCTGAAAATCCCCTTGGCTGCCTACCTGCATATTTGGGTGCCAACATTTCTTTAAAAATCTGGCCCCACATAATTTGCCTAAGGTCACAGAGGAGGGCTGTAGCAGAGTAAGAAACTGAACTGTGGTTTTTAGACTCCCAAGCTAGTGCCCTCAACCCCTGTTCCACACTTCCTCTCTTAGGGCTGGGGAACACAACCAACCAAAGACTTCTATAGAAATCAACAACCATCAACAGTGTGACCTAGTGGACGCTTTTAGAATAGGTTGGACAAACACCTGCCACGGATAGTTTAGGTTTACTTAGTCCTGCCTCAGCATGGGGGGCTGGACTAGAGGGCCTCTAAAGGTCCCACCCTGTCCTACATTTCTATGCTATATGGTATTTTTTTTAAGAGGTGGCTGGATTATGTATCCTAGCTGAAATGTGGCCCAAGCTGTGAAGGGTCCATACTGTGCAGTACTAGGTGCTAGTGCTCTAACAGTTCCTTAGTCCGGTGCCAATAAACAGTGATTAGCAGCAACAAAATAATGGCAATAATTCGCCCCAAACTATGAAATGGTTTAAATTTTATTTGTGTGTTTCGATACACCATAAAAACTACTGAACAGATGTTCCTTAAACTGTCAAACAAAGAATAATCCACCTTGTCAGTTAGAGATGTTTGTTTAGGCAGGCCCTGCCCTGGATGATTTTTCAGTGAGTTGCAATCCAATGGGGAACATGCTCTTTGAGACCCTGAATACAGAAATTATGGAGAGAGAATTTTAAGGTCCTTATTGATTCTCCCCCGCCGGGGATGTGGTGGGGAGGGAGGGGGCAAGAAAATATTACTTGGGCTCTAACTGCTGATCAGAGACATTGCAACATCCTCATCTAGGATCTGATCCAAAGACTAACTGAAGACAAAGGAAAGACTCCCACTGACTTCAATGGGGTGTGCATTAGTCTCCTACTTACCAGGTGGTTACAGTCATACATTTTTAAGCCAATCAAAATGCAGATTTCCCAAGATATGACCTGTGTTCCTTAACCCCTGGTTTTCTAGATGCACACACGGACAGAGTATACGGTTTTAAGATGGCTAGGTCGCTTTCAAAGCTGGATAAGTCCAGACAGGTTCTGCTTCTTTTGATCTGAATTCGACAGCTGTAAGGCACTGAAGTGGTCAATAGGGGTGGGCAAGGATAGCAGACCCGTTCAGTTTAAAGACTTAGTCTGAGATGTAGTCTCTAACGATCTTGTTGGACCATGTTAAAGCACCATACTGAAAGACTTGCTTGGTGGAGCAGCAATGGGCCAATGCTGCAGCAGATGTCCTGTTAGTTTCCCAGTTTCATCTCAGTCCCATTGACGAGCCAAACCAAGCGGAAGCAAAGTGCCAGGAATCCCGTGCCTAGGAGGTCGCCCAGGGCAGTGAGGTAGGGGATGGAGAAGTTGTCTGGATCCAGGGCCTTCCTCCACACCAGTCGCACAATTAGATCAGCCATGTAGAGCAGGATTCCCACCTGCCCAGAGAGAAGACAGACCCAGCTGTCAGTGAGTGACAGGCATGCAGCAGGGATACGGTACCTATTGCTAGAATACAGTCATTGTGATGGAGGGATGGAGTTCCTGCCGCCAATTAAGACAATGGGAGATGTAACTGTGAGCAGGATTGGGCCTAAAAAAATGTAGGGAAAAACAATCAGCCAACCCATAGAAGGTAACTTCTGTAGGCAGAGGTTTTATGCTTCTCTTTTACATTAGCGATTCAGGTCTTGTCTGCCTCGTTTTTCTTGGCAGTCTCCCTGGTCAACTGGAGAACTAGTAGGTTTTTATCACATCAAAGATACCAAGCAAGTGAACCCTGAGTCATTGAAAAGAGAAGTGATTTTTTTAATCTAGACTACTTAAAAATCTGTGTGATTTTTTTCTGTTTTTCATTCACATTTAACTCAAGATCCCGATAACCAGCTGGAGGAAAAGCTTTTGTTAAAGATTAAAGACTGCCTTTTTAATTCAATTAAATATTGAGAGAGTTCTCCCACTCTGTATCTCTCAGTCCTCCAAGGGACATCTCAGAACATCATGGACCACAAGACTGTGCATTTCTAAAGGGAATAAACCAAGCAGAAAAAATACCAAGCGCAAATTCCCTCCCCGCATCATTTCATAGATCATAATGCAACCAAAACGAGCACAAGCCTAGTGTTTTCTTCTCTACTGGGTCCCCTAGAAATCAGCTGTGATGTTGCTGAGGTTGTGTTACGGGTGCTGTAATTTATTGCATGTATTTTCATATTTGGCTCTGACTGTGGGAGTGGTTTTGCCATGGTGCATATGTAGAACTTTTTTTTTTTTAATTAAAACAACTTCAACTGTGGTGCCAGGGTTGTGGGTCATATAAGCACAGGCTGAGGATGGCAAGGCCAAGCCAACTGTTCACATGGGCACAGAATTCACACACAGCTGCAAGCCTGATTGTAAAGGGAAGCAAAAAGAGGAACAAAATCTTTTACCCTGCAAGGTAATGAACTTGTAGAATGGTTCATTTAAAAGGCAGAACCGATCGAACTGGTGGTCTGAGGTTTATGTGTGGCTGTTATTTTTGAATGTGGGACCTCTCGCTATCTCAGGCCTCTTGGTGCTGGGTTTTCTCCTTACTGAATGTAGCTCTGACCCACAAAGTCCAGTTCCCCCACCCCACAGATTTCCACTTCGGCATGTGAAATCAGCCTTGCAGAATTATCATGGATATTTAACCAGCCTAGCACAAAATCTGCTCGCTCCCCTTTGGCTGTGATGACCAGCAATAATGGGGGTGTGGGGGAGCAAACAAACTAGAGACCACTAAATATATTCTATTACTGCTGCAGTGGGACAAAGAGAACTACATGAGCTACGATGTAGCCAACATCTGGCACAGGGATGCTCCTGCCACTAATAATTCCTGGGATTATGGAGACTGGGAGAGGGGGTCAGTGGGAAGTGACCAGGACTAAGGGACAGCGATTGGGCTTTTCATTGCCGGCTGATAGATTCACCCTCAGCTTAGCCGGGCTCTTTTTATTACCTGCAGCAAAGCAGCAGTCAGATAAAACATCACAAAAGTGAAGGTGATGGCTGTGTGCCCGCCCTGCAGGAGGCGAATGGTATACAGGAACACCAGGTGTCCGGGGATAACAAGCAGGAACAGGACGCGGGCTGACTTGGAATTCACCCCTGCAGAGAACACATGGATTAAAATGAATCAGAGCGGGTCATTGCTTGAGGGGGAAAGCAGCATAAAGTTGTACATCTTTCAATGACCACAGACATATTTGTGGATGTTAAATACCACTGCCAGGGGAGTAGGAGAGAGACATGGACTGTTGACAACTCCTTTCTGAATGATACTCAGTTCCTTAATATAACATTAGGGATTATGAGTAACTATCTACTTGTTTTATCCATCCCTCTGGATCCCACTCATATCACCATATGAAGTATTTCTGGGACTGCCCCCAGCAGCTTTTTCTGGCATTAACCTTATAATAAAACCATGTTCTACGTACATACTCAGCTCCATGATTCTCTCCTGATCTCTTGCTTCGCTTCCCACAGCTGTTCCATTCAGCTGTCCTACGCAGCTCCGGTCCCCACTCAGCTCCTGCTATGAATCACTTTGATCCACTTTCCTAGCTCTGACTTTGCCCTATCATCAGCGCACAAACTTCCAGCGGAAAAGCAACATGAGCCAGTCCTCTAAAAGTAACAGACCAGATTCGGAGTTTGCTTGTGCCAGTGCATCTCCATTGCCCTGATTTTCCCAGCATCAGCGAGATCAGAATCGGCCCCACTATGTGCTACAGTCTGCTACTAATTCATGCACTGGGGTATCTAGGACAGCCCCAGTTACAATGGGCGACTCTCCAGGAGAGTGAATTTGAAGTTTCTTTTCAAATTATTTGTTGCCTAGTGACAGGTACTCCGGAGGCCAATGTTCCCTGTCCACTCACAGAGCAAGTACTGCACGGGCAGTAGGAACAAGCTTCCCTCAACCTGCCCCTTGCCAAGGTACCTCAACCCTGCCCTGGAGGTTCCACTCTACGGAAGGAAGAGGCGCTCACTCGCCACAACCCATTCGGTCCTTAGCCAACCAGGGTGACGGGTTTTGCAATGTGCACACCTGGAGTTCATTGTCTACCTGACGTGAAGAACGTAGTGCATGGATTAGGCCAGTTCTGCCTCATCTTGTAGGGCAGGACTCCAGGCGTGCTCCAGAAGTGCAGGAAAGTGGAGATGCGGCTGGCTTGGATGGCTACCAGATTCCCACCAACACCTGCAAGTGCAAAATGCAACAATCCCATAAGCCTCTCTCCTAGTGGCAGCAAGAAGCACACACGATGCATTGGTCTCTAGGGACTTAGCAGAAGGTTGGCCAACCTGCATCTGCTCAGATGCGCAGTGGGAGTGGTGGTTAAGGAAAGATCAACCCAAACCCATGTGTCATTGTGGTGCTGTTTTATTCACATGCTAGGAACACACAAAAATCACAGCAAGAAGAAAGTTCAGATGAATGTCTCTTTTTGGTGGTTTTATATAAAACATCTCCCCCGGACCTTCTGCTTGCTATGACAAGTCAAATGTTGCATGATCTCCAGCGATGATGTAAGTCCAGCCGGCATGAACTGATCTCTGGGGAACACATGGTGCAAACAGCCGGTGCAAAGGCAGCTGCTGCTCTCAGTTCTGCTTCTCGGAGGGACTTAGCTAGAGACTTTATTGTTTAAATCACAAGTGAAACAGACAGTGATCATCCTGTTCATTTGGAGGCACCTGACACACTTATTAAGTGAGAAAGCATCAGATGAGAATGAATCAGCCCTAACCATGTTGGTTAATTAAAAGGCAATTAGTTCCTTCCCAATTGTTTAATTCTGGCAAACATGAAATAACAGCTACATTCTCCATTAGACCACTGACTATATTCTAGTGAGCAATCCTGCATTGCCTATGGGTCTATATGTACACGTGTGTGGTGGAGGGAATGGGATGCACTGGATAAAATAATAATGAGCTAAATCCTGCAGCCTTTACTTGTTTCTTTTCTCAGGCACCCTCTCTCTCTCTCTCTCTCTGAACATAAGAGCATAAGAAAGGCCACACTGAGTCAGACCAAAGGTCCATCTAGCCCAGTATCCTGTCTACCGAGAGTGGCCAATGCCAGGTTCACTCCCTCTGGGGCACCTAACAAGTAATGATCAAGTGATCTCTCTCCTGCCATCCCATCTCCACCCTCTGACAAACAGAGGCTAGGGACACCATTCCTTACCCATCCTGGCTAATAGCCATTAGTGGACTTAACCTCCATGAATGTATCCAGTTCTCTGTTAAACCCTATTATAGTCCTAGCCTTCACAACCTTCTCAGGCAAGGAGTTCCACAAGGTGAAAGGTGAAGGTGAAATTTGCCAGAATTAAAACCAAGTAAAGTCTTCAGGACTTGATCCAACAATAATATGACTGAAAGGGTGATATTTGCAAACTGACTCCCCGAAAGGGAACCCTCAAACTGTTCATGGGCACCTTTGCCCATGCAAACAGGGAGTGCACAAAAACAGGGGCACGCTTAATTCTGCAGATGATTTTGGGACAATACATTTTCGCTCTGAATTAGCAGTCTGTGTTAGCTTTTATGAACTCTGATCAATGGAATAGCTTTGATTTGATTTCCTAATATAGCTTTTTGGCTGATAGCACTGGAAAAGGTTTGTCATAAAAGGTGCGTCTACACTGCAAAGTAAGATCAGGGTTAATAGAACCTGAGTTAGCAGACCTTGGGTTTGTTAATCTAGGGCTTGAACGTCTACACTCATTTGTAACCCCAGGTTAGGAATTGCTGAACTCTGGGTCCCAGCCTGGAGCTCCAACATCTACACTGCATTATGCAGCCCCGAGTCCAACCACCCATATCCCAGGCCTTGTCTACACTATGTGGGAAAGTTGATCTAAGCTACACAATTTGAATTATGTTAGTAGCATAACTCAAGTTCACGTAGCTTAGATCTACTTACCAGGGGGTCCACACTACGCTATGTCGACGGTTACTCTTCTCGTTCCGGTGGAGTACAGAAGTTGACGGGAGAGTGATCTGCAGTCGATTTAGCGGGTCTTTACTAGACCTACTAAAATCGACCATTGTTGCATCGATCGCCACAGCGTTGATTCCCCAGTAAGTGTAGACGAGCCCCCAGACTTCCTAGCACCCTCCCAAAAGATGGCCGCTCTAGCTCTTTGTGTAGCATGGGAAAAGCTGATTGTCCACCAAACTTGACTGTCCAACGGACAAAGAAAGTTGGCCCATGGGACAGTGGAATACTTCTGGTGCACTCCCAGAGCACAAGTCCAGTGGGGCAGCATCTGCACTGCAAAGCAACAGGGTTTGAACCCTGGGTCCCAGCTTGACTCAGGCTTGGACCCGTCACCCCCGTAAGGTCATGGGACCTGGGTCAGTGCGATTTGTGTGTAGTCTGAAGAGGGGTTAGGCCTGAGCCTAAGTTGGAACCCTGGGCTAACACTGCAGGTAGACAGGTTTAGCAAGACAGCTTGCGGGTGTTAGAATCACTGCAGCTTAAAGAGCCACTAGATGACAAAATGCTTCGCAGCTGGAACAACGCTGTAATTTCTTAATGAACGTTGGTTTCCTCTAGCATGAGCCTGACTTGCATTCAACATTATATCAGAAATCAATCAATCCAAAAGCCCGGGTTGTTTCCACAGTGGGCTAATCTTGAGCATCACCGTGTATCAGAAGCTTGGACTGACTGCACAGCTCAGAACGTCGATTTGGGATTGGAAGGAAATGGATTTTATTGTAATATTTTTGCAGTGATTTAATGCTCATGAAGCTCAGGGTATGCCCACAGTGCAAATAAGAACCCACAGCTGCCCCCGTGTCAGCTGACTTGGCCTCGTGGGGCTCGACTAAGGGGCTGTTTAATTGCAGTGTAGATGTTCGGGCCAAGGCTGCAGCCCAAGCCCTGGGACCCTCCCACCTCACAGGGACCCAGAGCCTGGACTCCAACCTGAGCCCAAATGTCTACACTGCAATTAAACAGCCCCTTAGTCGAGCCCCAGGAGCCCAAGTCAGCTGCCATGGCCAGTCGCAGGTGTCTAATTGTGGTGTAGACAGACTTACAGCAACCCCCAGATGTAGTAGGCTGGGGTTATGCCGGCTTCCTCCCCACAGCTCTGCCACCTCAGTCACACCTGCAGTACCTCCTGCTATTCCACTCCAGAGCCTCTCCCAGTCTGAGGGCATGTCTACATTGCAATCAGAGGTATGACTGCAGCTCAGTTTGGCATACTCGCACTAGTTTTAACCTACCTAGCATGGCTCAAAATAGCAGTGATTGGCACAGACCCCAGCGCAGGCTAGGAGCGCGAGTACATGCCCAGGGTTCTGGGCTTGTACAGCCCACGCCACTGCGTCTTCACTGCTATTTTTAGCCAAACTGGCATGATTACAGCTAGTCTGGGTATGCCTACACAAGCTGCAATCACACCTCTGAATGCACTGCAGACATAGCCTGAAACTGCCAATTGTGCTGCAATGTGTGATGTGGATAAAGAAAAACCCAGACGAGACCACCATGTTCTTTGGTAACATGAACTGGCATGTGAACCCAGCCCTCTGGGGATGAAAGGACAAAAACATAACCCCCCCTCAACCTACCATTAATCACGGGTGTAAAAACCGCCATGCCTTCGAAGTTCGGGTCAGTTACAGTTTTGTCCAAGATCAGCCCACCAATGCTGTTAAAAATGACACAAAATGAAAGCTTATTACCTATCATCTGTCCAGGTGCAGAATACAGAGACTGAGACAAGGACTAATTGTCCTTTCTGTTCTGTGTTAGCACAGCACCTAGCACAATGGGGTTCTGAGCCACGACTGGCGTTCCTAAATGCTACCACAATACCAATAATCATGACAGTTATACAGGTTGCATTTGACTATGCAGCAGATGTGTATGTTTTATGGAAGACATTGGTCCATCAAAGTGTCTCTAACAATGACAGGTCTTGAGACCAGAGAATTTAAAACCATGTGACTATAAATTATCACTGGAATCTCAGACAGGCAGAATTTTTTTGGGGGGGACACTGTCCTGGACCTCGGATTAGGTTGACTGTTATCCCTGAAAGAGAAAGAAAGATCTTCACAGGGTGGAGAGTGGGAAGGGTGGTTCCTAGGTTTACCTGCTGATGCTCATTGCAACAATCACCGGCTGCCATCCAGACTTCAGGACTTCAGCAATAGACGGACTTTGCTTGGCAATAGCAACCCAAAGAGGAATCATGATAACAAACACAGCGCAGATCAGAGGCGAAAGGTATTTCACATCTGGCATGGAAAAGAAATTCAAAGTTAAATGCGATTTACATGTCTCCAACTCCATAAGATTGTAAAATCTGACAGGACACCACCATTACATTCTGACTGACTGAAAGAAAGGAAGCAGTGCTTGGGACTGAAGTCTCCATGTTTTCCCCCACAGTCCATAATTCACCTGTGAAACTCAACAGCACAGGACAGTACTGAGGCCAAGAGATTAGGAGGATTCAAATCAAGTTAGGTAGCTAAATGAATCAGGATGTCCACGCCGTTTCATTAGATTGGATAGAAATGTATATGGAATATAAACCCTTTTATTTCAGGGATAAGTCAACCACTAACTCGCTGGGGCTAAGAAGAAACTTTTCCTATCGGCAACTTATGCCATAGATAGATATGAGGGGGCATCTCACCCCTTCCTCTGAACCATCTAGCACTGGCTATTGTTGATGCCAGGGCAGTAGACTAGTTGGACAACTGCTGTTTTCTGATGCTCCATACATCAGACTGCTGAGGGGCAGGATTTTTACTTGCTGGTTTACGTTCATTTCTATTAGCCACATTTCCCTTTGGCAGCAGCATAACCTTGAAACGACCTTCAGAAGCGAATGGTACTTAAAAAATGCTGCCCTACAAGAAAACAAACATGAGACAGCACCAGAAACACCTTCAAGCAACGGGGCTTGTGCCAGGTCTTTTGATATGCTAATAATTTGTCTACAGGGCTCTCCATCTGCTCTCTGTATTAAATCCAAAGCGGGGCCTGCTGCAACAACACAGTTTTTGCAGGTATTCTGATATATAAAGTAAGCTTGATATGTGCATTTTTCCAAAGATATTGTCAGGGCCTTAGGTTAGAAATGTAAGACAGCAGCATTAACTTTCGATAAGAGTAATATCTGATCATTATGAAAGCTTTTTTACACAGGGAGGTACTTATCATAGTGCACGTCACCCACCATTGAAATGCAGCCTCTTCTGGGGTGCAAATGGCAACTGTTTAACAGCGCACAGCACCCCCTCAAGCTAGCCAGGACAGGAAGCAAAGACGCACGATAGGACATCCAACCAAGTCAGATGCTAAATATCCCCTTGGTCTTTTGGGCATTTGGCGATTAGCTTATTTTTAAACCCCACACATACAGAATGTTCACATCTATAACATACGATCCAACGCCCACTGTAATGATTCCCTTTAGAATCTTTGTGTCAGGCCTTTGGAACCAGTTCTGTCACCCTTCCTAGGAGTAGTATCTTACTCAGCAAGCAGTCCACTGATTATTACTTGTTGAGTGAAATACTACTCAGTGCGAGGAAGGGTGGTCTAATCAGCCCCGAAGTATTTAGAACTGGAAGGAGACATGTTCATTTTAAAAGATTATAAAATGCTCTACTGGAACGAGAGCATTATACCTCAGGGGGAAAATGTAACTTTCAAAGGCATGTAACATTCTGGGCCTTCTAGGATTCATCAGTATCCTTAAGGGAATATATTTCTCTGTGATCAAGGCAGGGTCACACGCCCTGTCCCACTTCCCTCTCACCTCCATTGAAATACAGAAGACTTTGGAAAACTGGGAATTATGAAAACCCACCAATTGGGTGATGTCACACTAGTGACTGACGCAATGTAACCAATCCCCTGCCAGAGCACTGCTGAATAAAACTCCACCAGAATTTCCAGCCAGACTACTTGGCTGCAATGATAGTCTCCTAAATTCACAGCTGCTCATTACCGTATTTGTACACTATGGAATCAGGTGATAACATATACCATAATGCAGTCCCTAAGAGATATTACTGGAGATGGAGATGCTGAAGGCCAAACCCGTTTTGTGTAGGCAGATGCCACGGCATCTTGGGAAACTGCACACTGAATAAATACATTTCTGAAGTATAGGAGAACTAGAACGAAATGACTATTGGACCTCCCCCAGCCTCTCTCTCTCTCTCTGGGATATGGATTCAATTGTTCCCCTATTTGTAGGCATGTGGAATAAATTATTGTAATAGGAAACAGCTGTCTCACTCACCATTTCTGCTCTCAGTTTTCAGTGAAACTTTGGGTTTAGTTGTTACAAACTTTTTATTTTTTAAAACAACCCAACCCTGAACATTTTCTCTTTCTAGGTCAGGCCCATGGTACTTTGCTTAGTAATTTTCCAACATCAATTAAAGCATAAATCACATTTATCCCCTTCTCCAAAAATGTATTGTGCATTTTCCAGGCTCATGTAGCAGAAGCAGTTCAGGTGCCAAGGTTTTTAGCCAATTTGTCGCCTCTAGGATTATGTCTACACAGCAAAGAAAAACCTGTGGCTGGCCTGGGCCAGCCGACTCATGCTTGCAAAGATTGGGCTGTGGGGCTGTTTCATTGCTGTATAGACTCCCTCTCACCTTGCAGGGTCCTAGAGCCTGGGCAAGTCTGAGCCCCGACGTCTACACAGCAGTGAAATGGCCACGCAGCCCGAGCCCGAGTTGGCAGGCATGGATCAGCCATGGGTGTCTAGCTGCTGTGTAGACATACCCCCAGGGCATGGTTAACACAGCAGTCACAGCACCGGGCTCTTAGGAGAATATATTCTCTCCCCCATTCCAAGATGATGATAATGCTTTGTGCTCCCACAGGATCTGAGACATCAGCTAAGTCTCACAATAGTTTTATGAGGTGGGGAGCATTATTATTCCCATTTACACGTGGGGGTGCAAAGGCAAAGAGAGCATAAGTCACTTGGCCAGTGTTGCAATGAGTTAGTGACAGAATCCCAGTCTTCTGCTCTAACCACATTATCCACTGAATGGTCCCAAAACCCTTACAATAAACTGGACAGTCATAGGACTTACCCACAAAGCCTTTTCCATCTCTACCTCCACAGCCTACGAGACCACTTCCTCTTGTAATGCTGTGTCCAGTCTAGCTTTAACATTCCCAGGAATGTAGATACTTCCCTTCCACAACTGAACAGCTCTCCCTATCAGGAGGCTTCCCCAACAGCTGAGCCGCAAGGCCTCTGCTATGTACCTTACCTATGTATTTAAAGAGGGTGCTGCTGATTCCTGCTAGCAGAGAAAGGGTTATCAAATCTCCAAGGCTTGCTGCTATGGGAGTGGCGACGTTGTCTGGATTTATCCCCACCTTCCTCGCACCAATGATCACGCCGATCATCACCAGACCTAGGGGAGACACAGACCAGGGGTTCAGACTCAGAGGATGATGCTGTTTGTGGTGTTGGCACCACTGCTCCACACTGTGCCAAGGGCTGCCCTGGTTCCGGGATGGCCCATGGTGGCTTAAAGTTGCTTTTGCCCATACTTGGATGTTGCACCAAGTGGAGTTTGGTCGCACTCAGGAAATGGGCCCAGTGTTCTCACTGTACTGAAGAACACGGCTCTTCCACGGGCCCATACACAGCAAAGCAAACACCACAGCTCACTGCAGATGCCACTGAATGACCCAAATGTAGATGCTTTCATCCCTGTCCGATAGTCTCTACTGGCTTGAAGTGGGACCGGGAACAAAGCACATTCATAGATATGCACACAGTAGGTACTTAAGACCAGGCAGCAGAAGCAGGGGACTAGAGTGGTGCCGTTCTCTGGGGGTCACATCTAGATTCCACAGCACAAAGGCATTTTCCAGAACAGTATTCTGTATTATTCAGATTTTTTTTTACTTGCTTTTGAAACCCCAAGTGGCATGGGGCTGCCACTGCAGGTCATAAGCCAGCTCCCTGTCCCCAGCGTAAGTATCTTGGCTAGGCATCCGTTTCCCCCAGCGACCCCTGGCTGCCAGAACAGCCGCTTGGGGACCACAGCTCTCTGGGCTGCTCTAATTTACAATGGGCCCGGAAGCTGGGCAGCTTCAGGATCAAGGGGGTATAAAAGCAGCGCCTAGCCATGTACACTCCCCCATCCTGAGGTGTGCTAAGCAAAATTCAGCTGCAGTTCAGGATCTGGGGCACAGTCTCCGTCTGGTTAGCAAGGGTGGAATTTTGGCTTATTAATATAAGCTGGTGAGACCAAGACTAAACACCAAGGCCAGGTGAGCGTCAGACTGTGAGAACAAGAGAGCGCCCTGCTCCAGCAGCCCAAACTGGAACGGAGTGCAGCAAAACGCTTTGGAGAGTCACAGCAGCAACAATAGTTCATTTCACTTTACTTGAGAAAACGAGACCTTGGCAGAGATCAGACAAAACTCTTGTCTGTGGGCAAGTCACCTGACAGACACATTTACCAGCCTGACTCCAGTGTTCTGTGACTGTTTAGGGCAGTAGCCGATCTCCAGCCTCCAAAACAAGCCCAGATCAAATGTCCTTAGAGCTTCCCATGGCATTCTGTCCTCTGCCCCCACCCCAGGCACGATGCTAACCGCTGATGGCATGGTGTTGGGGACACAGGCCAGGAAAGAAGAACACTCTGGCTCAGAAACGTGTGTCTCCTCACAAAGGCCTGCGAGTGCTGAGTCTTCATGCGTGCCTGGAACATACTCCACTCTTCCGAACACCCCCCCCCCCCGACAACAGCTCACACACACACAACAGCTCACACACATGCGCTAGCCCCTCCCCTCTAACACGCGCACACAATGCTCCCCCAAAAAGCACACACCCACCCACTATGCCTTCTCCGCATGACACAAATCACCTGGCTCCCCTTTGACGTACAAACATGACCTGTTTCCTTAAGCGCACATGTCCACACAACAGCGACTTGTCACCGTGGCTAGGAAAGACCCTAACATTAGCTGAAGGTGTGTCAGCAAAATCCTTCCTTTTTACATCCAGTCAGATCTTTGGGGAAACAGAGGTTAATAAAAGCTGTGAAGTTTTTATAAACTTCTGAGAACTTGTCTAGTGCCCCTCAGCACAAGCACCTCTGTTGTTCTTGGACTCTGGCCTGGGTACATCTGTAGTCTCTGACTTGTCCTCTTTTTCTTAGAAGACTCCATGTGTGCAGGGCTGCTGCATAGGGTTGCCAATTTTAGTTGGTCGTATTCCTGGCGGTTTCGTCACATGACATAATCTTTAAGTAAAGATTAATCTTTAATTCCTGGAGTCTCCAGGACAATCCTGGAGGGTTGGTAACCCTAGATACACAACACATTGCTGCCCACTCAGTCACTAATAAGGATGTCATGCTGCCCTCTTGTGGCAGATTCCTACTCTTCCCTTTAACCAGACCCTCCTTACAATGACATCATTGTGGAACGGCCTGCCAAGAACTCAGCTCTGATTACCTTCATCTCACAGATAGAGAAGTGAAGTGATTTGTCCAAGTTCAAAAAGTGTGTCAGAGACGCAGCCAGGAATAGAACTCAAGAGTGCTGACTCCCAGCTCCAGGCTTTAAACACTCGATCATACTAATCTTCCCATGACCTTCCATGAGGAAAGGGACAGCTCTGACAGCCACTCCCCATCCTTTGTCAAAAGCATACCGTACTTCCCTAGATCGGCATGCTCCTAGAGAGAAGTGTGTGCATGAGAGATGCTGTAAAAGAGCAGTGTGCGTAGATGTATAGTACCCTTTATACTTCAGATAACCCAGGGCATTTTGCACGGCGTGGTACCAACTTTACCACACGTCCTGGCAGCAAGGTGATTACAATACCCACTCTGCACTCACACTCAGCTCCGAGTGTTACAGGCTATCTTACTGCAAGATGGAGCACTAGAGCTTTTGGATGGCCACTTTATTGTGTCAATCAGTGATCTGAATTACTGGTTGGATGGAACACCGGGCTTTGGACCTGCTCAAAGATCTTCCCTGGGGCCTTCAAAATGATATATGGATTGGCCAACAGGGAGAGACAGGAAGGGGCTCCTCTGAAGGATGGTGCTTTTAACGTAGAGCACCCCTTGGTGCTGCCCTGCAGCGGGAGTGAGCCCCAGCCCTAACTGGTCTGAAGAGAATCCCAGTGGGGGAAGAATGTCTGAACTTTCAAAGCACTGGGAACACAATGAATTTCTTTTCTTTCTTTAAAACAAATGTGTGTGTGAGTTTATAGTGGATGGATGGTGCCAGATGTTTGAGGACTGGCACTGGGGGCAGAGCAAATGAATGGCCCACCTTTTGGGTGCGGCAGAGGCCACAGAACCCAGAAATCAACAGATCATGGGGAACAAAAATGAACAAACAGGGACGGGGTGCAGGACACAGGCACAAAACAAGGGATTTAAAGGGACATGGAGAGGAGGAGCACAGACAACACCCACCGCTCCAAGAAGGCATTCAAGGAGTCAGTAGACACCACCCTTGAGAATTCTGCGCAGATGTGTGCATGAATGAGGAACCCAAAAAAGGCCCCAAAGTCGCATCCAACGTCCTTCTCTTGGACTGACGGATGGCACCGCCTTGGCCAGTGCCAGGAGGAGGCTGATGAGGAGGTTTTTGGACTTTCCCTGGAGACTGAAGTCTTCTCTCCACAGCACAGGTACAGCGTGGATGAAGCAGGGCAAGCTCCCCCCACACATCACATGCCTCGTCCCCTAACTAGCGGTGCTAGGAGAGCGCTCTCTCTACAGTGCATTCAGTCCTTGGCCACCCTAGGTGTCAGTTTGTGGTGGTGATTTCAATAATCCAGTAATGTTTTGGGGATGTGGCTACCTGTTCACTGGAAGTTCCACCAAGACCCCAAAATCGTTTCACATCAGCTACTGAACATTGTCCCAGATGGGAAAGGAGCAAACAGTTCATGGAGAGCAGGTGTGCATGGAAAGGGCAGTTTCTCACTGGCTCAAGTTACCGGGTGTGGTGGGGTTAACGAGACTCACCTAGGGACAGTGCAGCTATGAATGCTGTTGTCACGCTGCTCGCACAGAGCACTGCGGCCTGATTCAGCTCCACGTGCCCCTTTGAGATCGCTCCCAGGATGACAGCAGCTATGGCAGCCAGCAGCCCCACTACAGTGGCCTGTACCTGTTGGGCAAAAATCAGCTGGTAGGCAGTGTTCCCTGTGGGGTCAGTGACCCTGAACACATACACAGGAGACTGTGATCCCCTTCATCGCCACCAGCATGGCACTAATAAGACATGGGGATAATTCTACCCCACATTCAGGAAACTGCACCCCTGAAAGCCAAACTCCAGCTGATTTCCTCTAAGAGAAAATCCCAATTCCATCAGAACACTCTCTATAGAACATAATGAGCTGGCTAGAGTGTATGTGTTCCATTGCCCTCTACAGGATCCACGGTGTGTCATATGCCTTATATTGTTAATGGAGATTCTCCTTTAGATTAATAAAAAGGGCCTGTGCTTCTGAAGCAGGAGGCTCTGAGTTCTGTCCTTGCTGTTGCAATGAAGTTTTGGGTAGGCAGCATAATTATGAAGGGATAGGTGACCCCAGATTTGTTACGCTATTTAGGGGCCCTCCTGTAAAGGCTCCATGGGATGCAGGTTCAGAAATCCCAACCAAGTATTTAAAACCCTTACAGAGGCCTGAAAAGTCCAGATGTCAATACAACAGAAGGCATTTACCCATCAGCTGTGGAATCCCCATCTGCAGAAGTGCCACTGATCGCTGTGAGAGGAGACGAGGAAGGGTTGCAGAGGCATAGTGTAGTACAAATGCCACCAGCACAGAAGCACATCCCCTGATCCACCACATACAACCTCTAGGTTAACTGCTGGATTTTAACACATCACTCCTAGAATCAATAGGTTTTTCATAGAGACGGATTCTGTGCCACTAACAATAAATTTCTGACACAGCTGGCAGGAGACGTGAGCTCCACACTCCACCCCAGTACGAATTCCCGAGACTGAACAGCCTGAGAGGGCAGTTTAGCAAAAGAAAGGAGCCTTTTCCAGCTCCAGATGGAGCTGCTTACCTGAATCAGGGCTAAATTGCAGGTGGCCATTTTCCACTGTTCCTGGGTATCATCCATCTGTCCAGTGTTAGCCTGGAAATCAAGAGAGAAAGTGAAAGGCCTGCTGCTCCTGTGGCACTGGCAGCAAGAGGGTTTCACTTGGACCCTCTAGGAGAGAGTAAGCTAAAGTCAGCATGATGACAGATGCTAGCCAGTGTCCCCAGTCTTCCTCACTTCCCCCTTTCTCATTAATGAGAATCCCCCTGCCCTAGCCTCTGAAGGGCAGCAGAGTTCAGCTCTTGTCTCTTGCAGGGGGGGGTAGGATATCAGCAGACACGCTGGGCCAGACTTTCAAAGGCAGGTACCTGAGCTGCGTGCACCATGTCTGCATGAGCCGATCCCACGCGTGTGCGCCCACCTAGTGCCAACATCCCCGTGCAAGCTCTGCAGGCGCTACAGACGAGTGTGCGAATTCCAGGCTCGCAGCTCAGGCGCCTGCCTTTAAAACGCTGATGTACAGCGTCAGATGCTCAGGGCTGCCAAGGGACAGGAATACGCTCAGAAAAGCCACATGGTTTAGCCACTTCTTCCAGATACGGGAGGCTGACTGTGGCCTTTGACAGAGCCCATAACCATCTGGGACCATCTCTACTGGTGCTGCTGATGGAAACCACTGGGGTGATTGTGCTGTGCAAACTGAAGAGAACTGACACAATAAAAACAACAACCCACAGCCTTCTTCCCACAAGGGAAAAAAAACACCCTTCGGAATAAGACTCGTGGCAGGAACAGGCTATAGATGCCAAATAGTCTCTTCCATTGTCAGGCTACTCAGATTCCAGTCCAACCCACATCAGACTCAGCAGAGAAAACCTGTCACCTCGCGCACGGAGCACAGCTGGGCCATTTGTTACTATTTATTCCTTACAAACCGTTTTGTGGCCTGGCCTGTCTCAGGGGCAGACCTGCAGTAGGGTCATACCCCAAAGCAACAAAAGGACTCTTAAAGGACAGGTCACGCTGCTGCCAGAGGGGCTAGATCATGCCATGAGTTGCAGAAGCTACTGAAGGTCTCAAGAAGTCTTGGGGGGACTTACGAACATCCACACGCTGGTCTGCTGGGACAGCTCACTGCCAGGGATGGGAAGAAAAGTTTCGGTATCCATAACAGTCAGCGGCCATAGTGAGGGACATCTCAGTAGTGCAGCTTCACCACTGGTAGACACTTTGCGTACAGCCAATATTCTCTTTTGTCTCTCTCAATTTTTGCAACACCCTCCAACGCTGGCAACTGGACACATATGGATGAATCATCCTTTAAGAGCCAACCAGCTGCAGAATCAGGGCATGAACCTTATTTAACACTCCCCCCTGCCTGAAACACCTTGTTTCAGCTTAGCAGGGAAGGGGTCTCTGTTTCACACACACATACACAGAGAAGAGGATGGGGTCTTTGTTTCACTCTCTTTCTTGGTCACGCGCGCGCAAGTAGGACCTATTGGTCAAAGGATTCCTTCCTGCTCAACCCCACCTCCCCTTACCCCCCAAGCTTTACACTTACAGCCGTAGAGAGTCTGGATGCCAGGGTCATTTCAAGGTTACCCTTCAAGCCAACCAGGGCAGGAACCAGGATAAAAACTTCTGTAATTGTCCGAAACACATCCCAGTGCTAAGAAGGAAGGCAACATGAAGAACGTCAACCTCATCGAATACCATTCTGCCTACTCCTTGTTTTGACTGGATATGGGTTCCCTTCCCACCCCTCACTTCCTGTCCTAAAACATAGGGCATGCACGGTGAACAACTGTCATGCTCCAACCCCAGAGACAGCTGTAATGTGATGGTGGGTGAATCAATTTTTGAGTTTACAAAGTGTTCTCTGATCTCTTGGGCAGATAGTCATTAATAATATCTCATATTTATGTAGTACCTATTATCATTCAGAGTCACAACAGTCAAAACAAAGAGATTTTGAACAGGATATAAAAAATACTTGTGCCTTAGGGCTTAAGACAATCTCTATCTATTAGGAATTAGGATGAGACCTTCCTGGAAGCATCTTCCCACTTTGGGTTTCTGGATACTGAACAGGATGGACTGCAGGTCTAATCCAGTATGGCAATCCCCATATTCCGATGATTGCCTTAGAGTTGAGTTACATGAAGCTGATGTTTCAAACTGTGATGTTTTATACGATCTGAAATCTCAAGTACAGTAGAATCACCAGAGTTTCGAACTGACCAGTCAACCACACACTGCATTTGTAACCAGAAGTATGCAATCAGGCAGTAGCAGAGACCAAAAGAAAGAAAGAAAGAAAAAGAAGCAGATACAGTACTCTGTTAAACGTAAAGTACTAAAAAAAATAAAAGGGAAAGCAGTATTTTTCTTCTGCATAGTAAAGTTTCAAAGCTGAACTAAGTCAATATGCAGTTGTAAACTTTAAAAAGAACAACCAGAACGTTTTGTTTTGTTCAGAGTTCCGAACAACCTCCATTCCTGAGGTGTTCATAACTCTGAGATTCTACTATGGCTTCAATGACTACTGCAGAAATACTGTGAGACTTATTTGAATATACTGCATGGTACCTTCAAAGATAATGTCTGGCCATGCACTGAACTACTGTATGTTCAGGAGTCATGCTGTACCTAGAGGAGATCCTATCAGAGAGAAATGACACACCAGAAAGACTTATCAGAAGTTTCTGAAGTCTGCAGAGCTATTCTGAAACTGATCCAAGATCTGCAGCAAGACCCCTTGTCAATTATTGTGGGAAATCTGATTCTGGGATAAACTGTGAGGTGGACTATCAAAGTTCCTCCTAACGTCGTTTCCAATTGCATTGTTGCCCAATACAGCCAGTTAGGAATACAAGGATCAAATTCAGTTCTGGTGTAAGTGGATGTATCTCCCACTGACACCATCGTACAGAGGTCAGTGGCCTGGCATCTCAGCAGACATTAATCCAGCTGAAGACCCTGGGAGCTGCAGGCGTTCAGCACCTTTGAAAATCAGGCCACAAATAGACCTAATTTAATAAACACCCACAAGTGAGGAAGTGGTGGGCAAAACATCGCTTCTGATTCTTCTGCAGTGACGACCTGGAAAAATAAGCTACAGGATGTTAAGAGCTAACGTGAGAGGGGAAGGCGTACTAGTCATACTACCTGAAAGTCTTTAACTTTTATTTGATTTTGTCAACACCTAACTCAGTTGAAAAACATTTTTTGGGGAAAAAAAGAGATCTTTGTTAAAGATTCAAACACCCCTCCACCTCTTTAATTAAGGGCTAAGCAAGCTTCTCTCTAGTACACATTTGATCCTTCCAGTGAGTCTTCCAGAAAAAAACAGGAAAGACCAGACTTGATCTTCTTACTGTAAAAAAACAGGCATAACTTTACCTCCCACCACCCCACCTCCCCCCCAAGCTTGCAGGTTTTATACATAAAAAGGAAGCCAAAAAAGGACAGAACACAAGAGTTTAATTTCTTTTGCAGGCCAACTTTAAGGAGCATGGTTTTGTCATACCAATATGTTCTTGAGTTTCTATTGTATTCTTCAGATTCCTGTATGGATCTTGCAGGCTTCAAACCACAGTAGGCTAAGTTAATGGAGTGCCTTGTATGACTGGCAATGCTTCGCTTTACATATTGTATCTTTTATATGAATTACTTTGTGGGTCCATGGACAATTAATTACAAATGAAAAAAAGTAAAAAGAAAAACAATATTCAGGTCACTTCGTTTTTCCCCCATTAGAGAGTCTCATTGGTAACATGCCAGGAATCCAAGGGCAGTATTAATTATTATTATTTGTACTGCAGTAGTGCCTACACTAATGTCACAAAACTAGGAAGCGAAACTCATGAGAAATCCAAAATAAAACTGACCTCCCCCTTTCACTGTCCAAACTAATCCAAGCAGAAAAAGTTAAACATAATACATTGCATAAAGCAAATAATTTTATAAAAATCCCTGTCAGTGCTAACAATCTCATGTGCTACTAGCAACAAAAGATGAAGAATACTTCATGCATATGGCCATAATCTGGACAGCATCTCACTGAAGATGAAAGAGAAGCTTTATTCCTGAATTTTCATGCTTGAAATGTAATCCTCCTGGATCAAACTTGATTCCTCACATTAATGGAACATAGTGGGCCAGATACCGACCCATGGTCTGCAAGGTTTGTGCTTCTCTAGCAGTGCAAAGCCGTCTGCAAGCCGGTTCAACAAGTTGGCTGCGAATTCCTGTGGGATAGGTGGAGGTGTCTAGCCAGAGCAGTTCTAAGCCATACTCCACCCGCAGTGCAGGGAGCACATCATGGGCATGACTAGAGCACTAAGCCATTCTAGTTATCCCCAGAGGAAGGAACAGACTCTGGGGGGCTGCTACCAGTCAGGGCATCTTAGAGCAGCCTTGCAGCTACTCATTGGGGATCCATAAAGCCACCTTCCCAGCCCCTCTGGTTGTGTCAAGCACAGCTGAAGATTTGGGCCTCAATACAAATTCTATCTGTTTAAATTAAAGTACAAATAGATTAATTTGCATATATCTCAGATGTGGTATCATTTAACATTCAGAACCCACCACTGTGCCAACGTCAGCCCTGAAATAGGCAGGTGCACAATTCCAGGAAATGTACAATGGGGTGACAGAGTACAGAACAGGTCTCATTGACTCTACAGTCGATTTCAAATTCGAGCGGAGAACAGTTCATTTCTCCCTTGCCTACACGTTTTAATTCCTCTGTCCCCCTGCTATTACTTAGCTGGTAACCTAGTAAAGCAAATGGGATGCAGTTAAAAAAGCAGTTGCTTTTTACTCTTGTTTTTTGCTGGTGTATTAGCCTCTGATTTGGGAGCTGTTCATTTGACTGTATCTGCTTTTCTATAATCTCAAAAGACCCATGGAGTGCATCTGGCCACTTCCTCTCCCAACCTGTTATCACCATGGATCAGCTGATGCTCAGAAGAAACAGTGTGGCCTCTCTCCCTGGCTAAGCTTGCAAAGTGGAATAAAGGAGTTATCTTGAAGAGCAGCCAAAAATAGAAAGCATCGCTTAGTGCAGTTCCCATCCCCATGGCTGCTATAGGAAGCCAAGTAAAACGGAACGCACTTGCAGGCACAATACAGAGGCATTTACTTTCCACCTGCCTTCCTTCTTCCCCTCGCTCATTCACAGCTTGCAAAATATTGGAAGTGACTCCATTGAAATCAGTGGCAAGACTCTCTGGCTACGTCTACACAGCAAGTGGCAGCCCGCAACAGCGAGTCTCAGAGTCCGGGTCTACAGACTTGGGTTCATGCTACGGCACTGAAAGTAACTGTGTACACAGTCAGGCACGGGCTCCAAAGCCAAGGGACGGGGTAGGCTTCAGAACCTGAACTGCAACGTGTACACAGCTGTTTTTAGCCCTGTAACACTAGACGCAGCTCTGAGACTCGCTGCCACAAGCCACCACTTGCTGTGTGAATGTACCCTGTTAAGCAACTGCTCGCGGCCCTGTGCTTTTGGGGGTTCCATGCAGATTTATAATCCACGGAGTGGAGTGGCAACTCACCTCTCAATCTTTTGGCAGTAGGAACTGAGAAGGAGGCACGTGCCTCTGCGTATCCCTTTATAGTAAGGTAGGGCCCTGAAAATTATATATAGCCAGTCCCAGCTTCCTGCACAGAGCCACTCCGCTGCTCTTTGGCAAAACAAGAGCAGTATAAGTAAAGCCATGTACACTCACTACACACCATCCACTTCCACTATTGAGATGGTGCTTGTTCGAGAGATGTGAACACAAACCCAGGTACACTCACTACACACCATCCACTTCCACTATTGAGATGGTGCTTGTTCGAGAGATGTGAACACACACAGACAAGGGTACATAAGGGGATGCTGGAAAGCACTTTGTTGCAGTAACTGGAAATCCTTTAAAACAGATTTCTGAGTGTCAGACCATCTCCTGCTAAAGGGCGGGGCACAGTGTCAGAGTTATGAGAGCTAGAAAGGGCCGCTGGGGTCCGTGAATCTCAATGTTACCAACTCTCACAATTTCATGGCAAGTCTTGTGATATTTTCCTTAAGACCACAGCTCTTGGGGTCACATGAATACATCAAAATCTCAGCCTGTTTAAAAAGGAAGTAAATTTCTAGTCCTCGTGGTTAAGGAGAAAAGCTAGAAAACATGAATCTTGCTGGCTCAAAGACCAGAACGCAAATAAAAAGCACCCTGAACATATTATTTTTTGAAATCTCATGATTTTTAAGTCATCTCATGATGTTTTAGGGTCCAACTCATGATTTCTGAATGCTTCGGGTCAGAAATTCTGCAATCTATTGCAGAAACGGTCTCCTCTAAGCTATTTTTGATTCTTAGCAGCAATGATGCCTTAACCACCTCCTCTGGGAGTCAATTCCACTGTCCAATGGTTCCTTTTCCTATTAACTTAGAAACTTTCCCCCCATTATTTTGCTTAATGCATGGCACCATCCTGTGCAAGTTTCCAAGACCCTAATGTGTAAATAAATTAAGTATATATTAAATACAGAGTCTGGTATTTATATCACATGTACAATATGTTGGAATGTGTGCGTCAAGTATGCGTCATATATTTTCTACCTAGACAGATACAAAGGTACAGCAATGTTCTCGAACATGGCCCTGCTTTCCAACAAATCCAGAGGATACAGTCTACATTAAGGGAACGTTTACACTTAAAATACTACAGCTGAGCTGCTACAACACTTCTGTACTCCCTACGCTGACAGGAGAAGCCATCCTGTCGGTGTACATAATCTACCTCCTTGAGAGGTGGTAGGTAGGTCGACAGAAGAATTTTCCCTAGTGCTTACATAGGGACTTAGGTCGGCTTAAGTGCATCGCTCAGGGGTGTGGATTTTTCGCAACCCTGACCAATGTAGTTAAACCGACTTCATTTTCTAGTATAGACGAAGCCTACAATTTACCTACTTGACAAGGGCTTGGTGAGGATTAGTATTTTAATGTCTGTATCCTGCTCTGAAAGATAAGGCAGCAGATAAGCAAGTGCTAAGTATATTATATAGCACAGGGGGAGATGGTTAAGGAGAGGAGCTCCTGTAAGACTAAAAGGTAGGTCTGTGCCTTGGAGCAGAGCACAGGCGGGTTGTTAGGCATAGTACAGCAGCAGTTAGCCATTCTTTCTTTGCTGCTCCTCACATCATATTCTCTTGAATCAATTCATTCTTTGCACCATTATTTTCCTTGGTCAAGTAACAGGGCAAGACCCCACCCCACCGCCAAAATAAAGCAATGCCCATACTTGGCTCCTGCTGGGGTACAAGTGCCAGAGAATCCTATGAATTCCAGCTTGCTTTTGAGCACCGTAGAGAACAGTGGGACACTGTCTGAAAGCAGTGGAAGTTGTGCCAACATTTTGATTTGCAAATCCACCCGCATAAGGTACCCAAACAAGATCAAATTTTGAGTTTCTATTTGTGCCACCAGGACAAAGGAAAGCTAGACGGGCCAGATTCTGATCTCGGGCACAGTAGTGTAAATCCAGCATAACTCCACTGAAGTCAAAGGGAGTGACAAATTTACACCCAAGAAAATGGGATCAGAATCTGGCCCAGAAATGTTTAGATTCTAGTCTGTTTATTTCTTATTCTGTGCCTATCCCAGAATAGCTGAGTGCCTTCAAGATTAAAGCATGATCAATGAAAATAACATCTAGTATCCAAGAACTGAAATGATAAACTTGCTTCAAAATGTGAACATGTTAACCACAGCTCTGACCTGGAACTTTCTGGGGGACAGAATGAATATCGTACAATAGATGAATATGCTGTAGCATTTGTTTGATCCCAGTACTGTGGCCTGGCGCAGTTTCATACAAGTTGCCCCAAAATGTGTGGCTAGACACAGCATGGGAGGAACTCTTCCTCTACTGTACCTAGGGTACTGTCTGTCCAGCCAGCCATGCCTAAATACAAAGCCAAACACTCTGACTTAAGAAGAACCATTCCTACATATTGACACAAAGAGGATGCTCTTTGCCATCGGGTGCTGCCCAGGCTAGTCATGCTTACTAGACACACAAATTACAAATGCATATGCAAGGTCATCCAGGCAAATCAGCCCCTTGTTACTAAGCTGCCTGATCACACATACGTACTTGAACAAGATCCATCACCAGGCCAGCAGCCACCATGCCCAAACCAGCCAAGAGGAATGGCACGAAGATCTGGGAGGCAATGGAGAAGGACGTCTCTGGGAGAAATCCATTAGCCGACCTGGTCAGCTTGCAGGTGAAACCTCTCAGTTTCTTCCCATGGAAGCACAGCTCCAGTTGTAGCTGGGTGACCACCATGGTCAAAGGCCGTTAACCCATATTCAAGAGGCAGAGCATGAAAAAAAGCCAGGAGCTCACACACATCGCATGCCCAGCTACTTGCTCCACAGTTTGAAGACACTGCTCCCCAACCTAGCAACGAAGCCACAGTCCTTTAGTTTCCTCTTCTCCTCCTCCCTTCCAGAGAACCACAGCAAGCTTATCTTCCCAAATCAGCTTGACTTGGTTGAGCTCAGACTGCGAGGAGCCTCATGGACGCTCTTTCTCCATGTTACATCCAGAAGAATTTAAAAGAGAAGAAAGGACGATTGCTGAGATGTTTGTGGATAAATACTGATGATCCCACCCCTGCTCCAGCTTCCCCCAGCTCAGCGAAAACCAGAAAGACCTGCTCCTCAGGCTATGGCATAAGAGTCCCTGAGCAAAGAGTGACAGGCCATGCAGGAATCCCTCAGTGTTCTCAGAGGCACAGGTGTCCTTTCTCTTCAGGTTACATTTCTTCACAGAACATGGCTTGCCTTTGATACAATGGTTTAATATATAAGCTGGAGCTGAAGTAGCCCCACCATGTGGGGCATTGAACTTTTCTCACCGTTCCAAGGCCAAGGGGTGGGGCAATTAATATCCAGGTTTTCATTTGGTTTCCCTCAAGGTCGCCGAGAGCAGGAGTCCACGCCTGTTACAACCCCAGCTATTACCCATCTCCCATCGGGAAAGGCAGCAAAGCTATACTGGCTGTGAGAGAACGTTTGCCTCACCTGACCCCCTTTTTGCTCCCCCCTCTCCAGTCTCATCTGTGGTGTACGAGCTCAGGAAGGAATAATCAGCTTATGTCGGCTGTATCTCTGAATGATTGACTTAAAAAAGTTCCACAGAACCAACCAATGAGCTTCAAAGACGAATACCCTTATCTGCTGTCATCACGTCAACTTTCAGCTACCTCTAAAAGACCAAGATAAAAGTCACAGCAGGAGCTTATTTAAGGTAGCTCTATAATCTTACTAGACCATGGGGAAAGAAGGGAAAAGTTTCCAATAGCTAATATATGCTCTTTCATATAGGGGAGGGATAGCTCAGTGGTTTGAGCATTGGCCTGCTAAACCTAGGGTTGTGAGCTCAATCCTGGAGGGGGCCACTTAGGGATCTGGGGCAAAAAATCAGTACTTGGTCCTGCTAGTGAAGGCAGGGGGCTGGACTTGATGGCCTTTTGGGGTCCCTTCCAGTTCTATGAGATAGGTATATCTCCACTTCCTGTCCTAAAGCTTATTCCTGCATGCTGCTGAATAGCTTTTGCGTTCCACCCCAGAGGTGGCTTCATCTCAGTGCTTCCTGCTTAAAGATACATGGCCAAAGTCACTGGCCTACGCCCATTGACTTCGGTGTGGTTACGCCCATTTATGCTAGTAAATTTGTATCATTCTTGTAGAGATGTGCCTAAATTGTAAAGCTCAAATCCAGATCCAAACTTATCCAAACTTGGGGGTGGGGGTGTTAATGGAACTTGGAAGGTGTTTTGTCAGGGCTCCTCTGTGACAGGATGGATTAATTTAAATCAGCAGACAGGAAGCCTTGGTTTAAATCATCAATTTTAATCATGTTTTGAATTTGTACTTTTTAGTTATTTTCCTGAAGAAAAGTTGATTCTCACTGGTTGATAACTATTAAACCATGTTGATTTGCAACTAAATATAGCCTTTACTCTAAATTTGGTGCTTCTTTCTACTAACCAGGAGGGTATACTATAGCTATATACATTATATAGCTTAACGTACAATTATTCAGATTCTTCATTTTTATAATTTTAGAAAATGGCAAATGATTCATTTCTTATTCACTATCTCGTGATTAACTTTTTTACTTGTTATTTGTGTCAAGTCCTATTTGGATGGAAATGTAAATTCAATTAAAATGCTAAAAAACTGCATTTTGCTTGCTTTAATTAAATAAATGTGCTGGAAACACAAGAAAAAAAAGCATACCAAAAAGTGTATCAAAACATATTTTGCATTTAAAACTAACCTGTTTATTAAACGAAGGAAGTATTATCTGTAGTTAGTGAACTGAACCGATTATTTCTGATGACTGTGTCCTTCAAGATTTTGGAACTAGTAGATCTCATCCTCTCACACCTAGTTTCTATTTGTAAATTGGAAGAGAAAATAACAAGCTTTCCTGCTTTTTCAACTCCCAATTGGCTTCTTAATTTTGAATGAACTAGTCACTGAACTGAACTAGCTGAATAAACTGAAATGAAGAAAATATTCTCTCTGCAGTCAAAAGCTGGCTTAACACATAACAACTCTGCTCTCAGGGGCTTAGCCAGTGGCTGCCACCAATTCAGTGGCTTTTTTCTTTCTTTCAAAGTTGGCACCAAATATGTACTATTGAATGTAATTTTTTGTATTTAAATGATTTTAATAGATTATGATATTTAAATTTCAAAATTAATTTTAATTGTTTTAAATAAAGTTGTATTTAATTTAAATAATCTGATTTCAATTTTAAAAAGTCTGTTTTTTTTAAAATCTTCACTTTATACTCATCCTTCTCTGTAATAATTTGGATGGCATGTTAGGGTCTTGGAGTCAAAAGGTTCTATATAAGTTATTTGTAATGAAAGGGGATTTGGACGGCCTGAGGTATTGGAAATTGGATAGTGAGCCTTTCACTGATCAGTTGCTGATTTAAATCCAGCCAGTCAGTAGTGATAGAAATTGCTGGCTGTTTGGTGGCCAGTACAAAGAGTCTGGTTGTCTCAGTCCAGTTCCTAGCATTCAAAATCAACATTGAAAAACCCTCATTACTATATTTGGCACTAGCTGGCCTCTGAACAGGCGTTCTCAGCAGGGAGATTTAAGGACACATGGGCCTTGTAATCTTAACTAATATTTGTCCCCAGCACTAAACACACTGGCTGGGAGTGTGAATACCTTCCCCAGCCCTAAATTCACAAACACACACACAATTATCAAGTCTATAGGGTTTGGCTGCACAAGGATCTCCAGGTAAGTGTTACAGGCCACAAAGCAAGAGCCCTGGCTCCAGATTCCTGACTCAGTCCTTTGCTGTTCCCAGAGATGATGCACCAGGAACAATGCAGGGAGGCAGTATTCTCAAAGCCAGTGGGATTTGAGACTCCATCAATAGCAGCACATGGTGGCTGTCAGGAAGCAAAGAAGGGAGGTCATTTCAAACCTCCCTGCTGGAGGAGAGCTCAAAGGGACAGGAACAGGGGGACTGAACAGAGAAGCTCTCTCCAATGCCTACAAAATGGGTTTTATGACCCAGTCTGCTTCTTCCCACCAACAACTTCAAGGTAATAGGATGAAGCTCTGGTTCCACGCAGAAGTCTGAGGTCAACTGAGTAACGAATGCAGGGCTGGTCCTAGGCAGCAACCTCAGGATTTCAGGGGTTTGTATGCATGTATGCAGATAATCAATATACACAGTCCTAAAAAGTCACTGTACAGTGTGAATTGCTCGTTCAGAGGCAAAAGCATTAGTATAAGGAAAGTATCAGATTTTTTGAAAGATCCAGGTGCCATAAAGTGACATAATAGCTAGTATGTCCTATATTAAAGCTTCGGCAAGCTGGGGTGAATGAGTTTATCACTCTCTGTCACGCTCCATTTCTAAGCAAGCACAATAAAAAGCATTCAACTGGCAAATCGACAGGCAGAAAACATAGTTAACTTAGGCGGCCCATGTTTGCACACTGGCTTTTTTTATTGTACACTTAAGGAACCTCTGACAGAGAGTCATATATCCAGAGCCTCACCCCTTCCAGCACAAACTGTCCCACAAGGTAATATTTTGTTTACACTAAGTTCTTTGGGGGCAGGAACCACTTCTGGTTATATGCCTAGACAGCACCTAGCACAGTGGGGCTCTTACCCCTGACCGGGGCCTCTAATGAATAACTTTCAAAAAGAAAATCAGAAGCACTAAGAGGAGCACAGGGAAAGACACAAAATGCCAAAGAACAAGATTTTAAACACATTTTGTTTAGATGTGACTTATCCTTGCTGCAGAATGTGGTAGCACAAGCTGTCCCCAACCGTGTTGTGTATACCATTGTGGCTGGCCGCCTTCCCGTCCTCCAAGTTCAAATCACTGGAGGGCAGGGCTGTTAAGCACCAGTGGGGTCCAGTACAGTACAGATATAAGATACAGAATAAGAACAGTACAGATACTGCTAGTTCACTGCCAGTTTGGGGCAAATTATTTCATTTTCATTTTTTAATGTATTTATCTCTCTCCCTCTATTTGACCAGCGACAAAAAGGAGAGGGGAGCGTTTATGTCAAGGTGGGCTGGGAGCAGGCAGACCATGAGTGAACAGGGGAGGCGGCCAGAAAGGAGCACCAGGGAAATGCTGAGTTCCTATTCATTCAGCAGAAGCAGCAGCAACAGGTGGTTTGGGATAGGTTAGGCTGGTGAGGAGGCAGAAAAGGGAGGAAGAGTCCAAGCATCAGTGAGTCCATCCGTGCGGGGGTGGGGGGGGAATGGAAAGAGCCATACATTCACTTGGGCTGTGCACTTGATCAGGCCAAGTGCTAGCAGCTGGAGCACTTGTCTTTCCACAAGTGAGCTTGCATTGTGCTGATTTCTTCCCTGACTGGTTTGGAACTCAGCATGAGAAGGAAGGGTACTATGTATTCTTATTCACATGGAATTGTTTGTAATTTCTGTTGGATGGGGGAGTCATTTCACTTCCTGTTCTCAACGACAGAGTGACGTTGCTGTGCAACTGTTTAACAACTGGCACGTGCTTCCCCAGAAGTGACCACTTTTCAGGAAACACTTCATCTGCCACTGTATACATGATTTGTAAAGCAGTTGTGTGAACATTAGATAAAAGGTAATTTATATTAAACATCGGTTATTAATAAAAAAGGAAAACAATCAAAATAGAGAGAGATTAAAAATTAAAAACCAAACCAAACCCTCTATATGTTAAAACTCCGTTAAGGGGGAGACAAAAGCAGGATCAGGAAGGACACTAAATTAAGAGGCCCTCTGCTGAGCTACTGACACATAACATCTTCTGTTCTAGGAGGGTTCTTTTAAGAGTGGATAATGTGTGCTGCAGTATCTGGTATCAACTGGTGAATTAAGGATACTGTGCCAGTCTTAAGAGGCAATGTCCTTCGCTTCAATGGGTCCTAGTTGATCTCCTTACGCTACAAGAGTAATCGAGGGGCTGAAGGGAAATAACTCCAACTTTTTGAAAGTTGTCAATACCAGCACGGGGCTTTCAGTGTCAACATATCAGATAACGAAGGGGCACGCTGACCTGATAGCTTGCTAGTCAAATACACAGGGAGGAAAAATAGGAATGCAAAGCTGAAAAAGCATTACCCATTAGTAACAACACATTGTGATCTCTTGATTGTACTACGGACATGAACTGTAACTCTAAATGTAAATGGCCTACAATCAGTTCTTAGTCTAATCAGAACTTAGACTTTAAGTAGTGCCTATCACAGAAAACATGTTACACAGGCTGGAAAGCGACCCAAATCATTCATTAGAAAGCCTTAGAAACAAACATGGAGAGCAACTTGGTGCTCAGCAGGTTGCATTTGGCACTAAGAAGAGCAGGGGCTTGGAAGCATCATAGTGATGCTTTTAGTCTCCATGGGAGGTGCAGGAGAAGACATTCGACAGGCCTTGCCTAGAGATAGCCAGAGCACTCTGCAGAAGTAGCTGTGTAATGCTGGTTTAAATTTGGGGGTGGGGAAGGAAATGAACATCCAAAATGAAGGGAGACCTTCTCTCCCGTATTCACCCAACCTGCTGTAACCCTTTCACTTGTGCATATCCAAGAAGGGAGAAAAGGCAGGACCTCTGACGCCTGGTAACAGCACACCACACACACTCATACAGAAGAGCTTTTCACCCTTACCTGAACATAGTCCAAAACCATCCCAGCCAAGACCATGCCAAGCCCTGCTAACAGGTACGGCAGGAGCACCTGCAGGCCAATTGCAATGGCCGATTCGTCCTGCCGCTTTGCCATGAGCCCTTTCCCCTCGGCTGGCTGCTTCTGCTGTGAGACCAAAAGCACATCCTCTGCTTCCTGGCTGCCAAGTCTGCTGTCTTTGTGTTTACCCTTGCTCTTTGCTTTGTGCCTGGATCGCTCTCCATTTTTCGCCCTGCCCTCCTTCCTCCGCTGCCGAGCTTCCTCCTCCTTCATCGCAAATCAAAGGCTTTCTAAAGATGCAAGACAAGAAACAGGCCAAAGTGAGAGGTGATAAAAGGGAGAATCCCATTAGGTGCTGTTTTTTCCCCCCCCCTGAGAGGTGCCCTTTGTATTCAACCACAGTTACCTCCTTCCCATCAGCTTTAGGGCAAAATGCCACCTACTCCTCCAAGCAGTGACACAGATTATTAGTTGATCCAAGTATTGGTCCTTAGACTTTCATTTAGCCTCTCATTCCAGGCCACTGGTTTTCCTCTCTGTAATCCCATCTCCCCACACTGGCAAGGGGTCATGCCACACCTGCTGCCATGCATTCCAGCACTCACTCAGTAAAAGGCCAGGCACTCGCCAAGGAGACTGCAATCCAATGCTGTGGCCATGGACGTGCCTGCTTCCCACACTCCGTGAGTTTCCCAATGATTATGAGAGGGGGACTCAGAAGTAGACTCAGCAATTTGTAGGCTCAAGACCTTACCTCGTATAGGAAACAGACATATTATATCCAGTAGGGGGCAGCAGTGCCAATGCTAGCCCATTGGGGGCCCTAGGCAGGAGTATTTTGAGGTCCCCCCCTCACAACATATACTAATAATTAATATGGGGGCCCTTGACCTGCTCAGGGCCCTAAGCAATTGTTTAGTCTGCTTATACCTAGCGCCAGCTCTGGGGGGCAATACAGCACAAATGTATATTACAGCAAGTAGTCACTCACTAGCTGATGAGCTGATATTTATTTGACCGTGTGTCAGATCTCCATTATACCATTCTTTCACACCTATCCTAATATACAAATATGGGGACCTCAAGGTCAGGGCTGTCCCTAGACATTTGGGTGCCCTACGCAGTTCCCCCGCAGCCTCCCCCCTCCCCGAGTCTGGGAGGCAGGAGCTGTGGGGGACCACTTTTGGGGGCCCCACAGGCCCAGAGTGGCCCAGGGGATTAGCAGGGGGCTGGGAGCAGCCCGCTGCGCTTCCCT